GCTGTGGAGCCAGATCGAGGGCAGAACAATAAACCTCGTGAGGCAGACGACAGAGATCTTGCCCAAAGCACCTCGGTCGTCAATTTTAGATGGCCTGCGATATTCGCGTGATACTGCCACAGCGAGTGTGGACTCTCTCATTTTAAAAGAAGTCTGTTTACTTGACTCGAACTAACCCTACCTCAACCCCAATTTTAACCTTAATCATGATCCTCCCAGAATTTAGCTCAAGGCCTCTTGCAGTACGGGGATTCCTATTATTGTATCCTACCAACCGAATTAATTATCCTTTGCTAACGTCGTAGCATTGACAATTTCCGCAGATATTCACAGCAATGACGGTAATTGTATAAATTGCATCAATTTGAAACGACAAAATGCGCCTTAAAGCACGTCCACGTGTTTCATTTTTTCACTTCGTTTTCCATACTTTGCCTAGCAATTATCCTCGATAAGGGAATCGGTATAAATATCCCGCGAGCGCATTACAGAAGGTGCACATAGTGTGTTGTTTTTCGCAATATAACACGTTCAATTTCCGCTATAAACTCTCTAGCAAAATCTTCCACGAATTTCCTCCGTTTTGCAGTCTTGCTCTGGATACTGACGTCGCCTGTGCCAAGTTTACGGCATTTTCCAAGTCCCTGATTAAGTCTGCCCGTCTCAGCCCCGATGCTTTCGTTCAAGTAAGTCCTCCCTTCCTAACCGATTGGTTTTTGGAGCTGTTGCGTTTTCTTGTCAATACTGCCACACCTGGTCCCATCTATGATTTAATGCTCATTGAAATTTCTCGTCTGTGGTGTTCGTTAAAACTCGCTAGCCAAGTACAAGTACCAAAACCTATACTTTCACCTTAGCTGAAGCGTTGATTTTTACAGATTGGAATGCAACTGGCATATGCACGCCTCTATCCGAATCGTCCGCCCCCAGCCACTTATGAGAGCGGGACCCTCCGGCGTTTCCGTCTGGGTCGCACGGAGACCATCCGGTCATGCAGTGCGCAGTCAGTAGCTTTCACCAAAGCGATGGCAAACGATGTAAGTTTTTATTTCTGCTTGGACCATACAATAACAGGTCGCCAGCACGGCGACTATCTGAATATCAATTTTCAACGTCCGCCTAGTCCCGTTGTTGCCAAACTTGAGAGTATTATTATTTGACCACCATGAAAGCCATTTACTCGTGTATGCTCGCAGCAGACTTAGACATTCTTAGGTCATATTAACTAGTTTAGTCCATATATGAGAAAACTGAGGTTCTCTGTGTTAGGATATTAGCCAGACCAAATGCTAGCAACGTTCGGAGGCTTTCCTGAGGCGTCGAGCCTAGCCAAGTGTCTTTGTTTGTTAGCTC